CGTTTTTTGGGCAAGCTTGGCTCAATTAACCTCTTCGATCTAGCTTGAGGGGGAGTGTTGAAGTATAAGTATAACCTTAAAGACTCTCGGTCCCTAGGGTTAGCTATCAAGGCCATCATTATATCTTAAACTTGTAAAACAACCATCTTCCCTTGATTTAAGGGAGTTGATTGATTAGTGGCTTAACCTAATGTTTGGAGTAATTCCTTGATTTAAGGGTTAGATTAGGCCTAGATTTACCCAGTCACTTAACCTAGTGTTTGGTGTAATTCCTTGATTTAAGGACTAGATTAGGCCTAGATGTACCCAGTCACTAGGGTTTCCTTTGGTTGCTTGCAGCCAACTCTCCTTCCTCTCTCTTCTCCCTTATATACTTGGTCTCTTGTACATTGATACTCATGAAATACATTACAATTTAAACCAGAAAATCAGCAGTCGAATTTAATCAGCCATCATTCATTTTCTAACTTAGATAAGATTATAAAGTGTAAGAGCAAGAGGTAGATTAGATAATATCGGTCATACATGTACAATATACATTCAACAATAAGAAGGGAGCTATAGACAGGATCGACTATGGCTAAAACAAAAGACTCGAAAGAGCGGAAAGGATCTAGTATATGAATTCTAATCCCCACTTCTGCATAAGTTCAATGAATAACATGTAAAATCATCTGACAGTCACATTTCTTTTGATGATTGTAAGGGGTATTGAACATTGCCAAACCCTAATTATGATTTATGACTATTTAATTACAAAGACAAAAAATAACCAATTTGTGTACAAACATCAGCAAGTAAGAACTGAGCTGGAGTAGTAATTGGAGATTACTTGTATAAACCAACTACTACTGGCGGATATGGCAACGATCCCTTTCACAAGAGAGATTTGACCGTATAACCGCTGTAATATCCCTCCCTCTCTTTATCTTTCTCATCACCTGATGATTAGAGAGTTTTTAAGGGACATTACGACGGTTATGCCCAAGATTTTGCCCATTCATAGCCTTCCCTCACTTTATTACCTGTGTCAACCATTTCACATTTCAAGAATCGTATTCCATGAATATGAAACCTATCCCAGTGCAACAATTTCTGACATAAATCAAAATCAAGCTTTCAAGAATCGTATTCCATGAATATGATACCTAACCAGCGCAACAATTTCTGACATAAATCAAAATCAAGCTGCTTCCTTCAAAACAACCAATTTAATCATTTTCAACAATTTTTTAGGAAAAAAAAAATTCAATTACACACAGAAACTCCAGAAAATTCCAATTGAGAAGATGAATCATTCAACCCCATCACCTGTTACAATTAAGTAAACGAGTTTTTTTTTATTTTTTTTATTTTTATTACTTTTAAAATTGGCATAACTGGTGGTAAGTCACGGTTATCTACCTCTTCCGAGTTTGGAGAGGCTCACCTTACCCATGGCCATAGTCAAATAGACTCATAATTAAGCAAGCCAGTTAAGGAACACCCTTTTAATTTAAAAAAGAAAAAAAATTTATATATATATAAGAACCCATCACCATCCTCTAAAATCTAATTCTCTCATCGAACTCACATGGAAAAAAGTTAAAATTTACTGATTTTTGAATCAGATTAATTACCAAACTGAACGATAAGAAAAGGAAAGGCAAAAGCAAAAACACAATAGTAAATTGTAAGTTTATGAATACTTGCACTGTTACATGTTCGTTGTGAACTGCCAAGCATCCTTCTTCGATACAGTGGAGAGAGAGAAGTTCAGGCGCGCCAAATAAACATAATGTATTTGCAGGATCCTTAAGAAAGCGGAGAGATTTTTCAATGTGTACGAAATACGGGGCAGAAAATCACATGTTATTATACAGTTAGGGGGACACTTGAAAGAAATTTTTTTCCACCAATTATATGTTCCGTCCCATATTCTGGGCATACTGAAAATTTTCTCAAGAAATTGAGTGATTCGAAGCACAAACGAAACTCAAAAGGTCAATAATGCCCCTTTTGTTTCTGTGTGCTGTGAAAGTATACCAATGTCATAATACAAATGGTATACTTGAAAAAAAACTTCTAACAACTTATATTATGACACTTCATATACCAAGCCGTGTTCATAGTACACCGAAAATTTCTCTACGAATTGGAAGCGCAGTTCCACACATCCCTAAAGACGTTAACTATCTTGGGCGTAACCGTCCCTCCAATTGGCTGAGCGTTGTCTCAACAAAGGGGCTATGTCTCTTACTATATGTATTTCCCTATAGCTATCTTAGACTTGTTCTCTTAAGCCTCAATTTTTGGATCTACCCAAAAAGAATCTCAAATCCCTAGCCTTAACCTGAATTTCTTTTTCCCCTCTTCCAGTCACCGCCATGTTCATCCACCATCTCCTCCCATCCCCTCTCTCTACCATAAGCTTGGTTGCCTCCTATGCTTTTGCTTTCGGTTGAGACGTACAATCTGAAACTTATCTTCGCCACTCATTGTGAAAGTGATTTATCACTCATTCAGCGGAAGATGTGCAAAACTATTCCTTTGGTTTCGGTTTAGGTCTTCGTTCCGCCTCCTTCTATGTTATTGTTTACATGCATGCTTGTTGATTTCGCTGACGTCGGGATTTCGTTCTTGCTGGTCTCCAAGTGGTGAAAATGACATAATATTTCATTTGCTCAGTTGTTTCGCTGTGTTATTTGGGGCTTGTCTGGATTTTGGTTTCTCCTCTTTGGGTTTATATGGTTAGGTTTCGAATGAGCAGGATTTGAGATTTGCGTGGTTATGTAATCTTATACAACGACCTTTGTGGTGTAGTGGTATCGGCGGTGCCCCTGGTGGCGTTTGGTCAGTACTTGGAGTTGCCACAGTGGTGCTGCTATGTGATGTTGATGGTAGTTGTCTGCTCAGACCTCCTTTTGTTTTAATTGAATTTTTGTGTTCATTAGGTCATGTTGTAGGTTATTTTCTTTTGTATCTTTATGAAACCTTTATAATTGAATTTGTAGAATTGTGTTATATACTTTTTTTTATTGGAAAGTTACATATCAAATTCTTATCAATTAAAATTATTGGTGCTCTTAGGTTGCTATCTCGGTAACATTTTCTTCTATTCTTCTATTCAGTTCAAGTTGACAAAAAAATTGTCCGCACATACAGTTCCGACACTAAACAAAAATTGCAGTTCTATTTCCTGGATGGATCGTTTTCTTAATTGATTTAATGTTGTCGAGTTTTCATGTTAGTTTGCAGATCCTACGTCGAATTGGTGTAGATGGTAGATTTCAGGTTTCACATATATACAACACATCATTCAACTCGGGAGCAAGTTTTCACAAATGGACCTAGTTGGTTCAACTTAATTGGACACCTTCCTTAGTATTTATATTGTCGTAACTTACAAGGTATATATCTACTGTGAAATATATGTAAAATTGCCAAAAGAAAAAAATGATCCTACGTTCGTCTTCCTTGCAAATTAAGTAGTAAAGTTTATATCCTCCTTAAATAAGTGTAACTTCTTTTTTTCAATATCACTAAATTTTCTGCATACGTACTATCGCTTTTTTAGAAGAAAAAAAAGATATAATACTTTAAGATAATTAATACTGAAGGAGTAAAAAATTAAGCACATAATCTTACGTGCATAGATAAAAATGAAAACTAATGAAAAAAACTTGAAAATTTTGAGTTTTAATGATAAGAACAAAATAAAGGGTAAAATGAATAGTATCAGGATTGACTTTTTAGTGTAAAAATGTGGGTTTTTATTAAAATGAACAGTACCGGGAAGCTTTTCGTTAAAGTTCCCTAGATAAAATTACAGCTCCTATAAACTGCAAACCCTACTATATTATTATGATGGGTGTAGTTTTTGCGCTACACCTTCTGCGAACATGGTAAATGAAACATTGTGATCGAATAATGTTAAGACAATAGACACCAAGTGGCAGTGTATTATTAGAAAAATGACATCACATGACGATGAAATCATACTATATAAGTTCTTCGAATAATGACTGCCAATCTGAAAAATTGCATAAAAACGAATAGGAATTTACAATGAACCTCATAATTCACAATAAACCTGATTTCCCAGATTCAATAGCAGAATTTCACAAGCACTTTCACTATTCCAACGTTTAAACAATCATATATCCAAAGAGACTTAATTAATTAATATACATGATGGAACAGTTGAACTTTATAATACTAGTGCAGCCATGCACAAAGATTCAAGTGCTTTTTCCCCCTTGTTAATGCATGCTTTTACAACAGACGTATACCACTAAATTGTTCTTTAACAAAACCAACATATTAAACAACATCTAAAAGGGATTAGTGCAATCAAGGGCTTAATTTAAGCATAAGGGTTAAGGGATAAGATGGAATCTCAAAAGCACCAAACATTTTTGGATTGGAGAAATTCTGTCACTCAAAACCCTAACAGTAATATGAATATTACCCCAAGCAGCTAAGATTCCCCAGCATATACCCTTTTTAGATTCTCATTGGCCAAGTCATGGCTTTCTTTTGCAAAGTAAAGCTCTCCAACTGGATTAAATATGATAAATCATTATAATTTGTATTAGCACTCTAAAAAAGTCACCATTCGCTTTTACTTTTTTATTCGCTTTTACTTTTTTTTTTTACTAGTTAATGGTGCATAATGACTTTTTTTTTTTAAGTGCCAATAACTCCAAACAATAAAATGTTAGAAGGCCTACTATCAGCTCTGTTAATGCAACAAAAAACTGCTCACAATCAAAGAAATATGCTTGATTAAAATAAATCCACCACAAATTAAGTTAAATCCTATCTAGAACCAAAAATGAGGGGGAAAAGGACGGAGTAAGAGAAAAAAATGATGAAACAGTACCATATGTGGCACACAAATGAAAGAAATTGTAGCAGAATAATGATTCCCCAAATGAGAAAATCACATAAAGAAGCTAGCCAGGTGTGTAGGGCTAGAATTGTGATAGTGGGAGAGTGTTCTTTTTCGTGATCCTCATCAACAGGTGAAGCTACCACATGATCTGATCTTTCCTTGACCAAGAGGGAAGTTTAGATCATGCTGGCAGCTTCAACTGCTATTGGTCCACGATATCCAAAGCAAAACCCTAATCCATATGAGGGAGAAGAGAGGGGGGGGGGGGGAAGAGAGAGAGAGAGAGAGATTTCTGTTTTTTCTTTAGCTGAAGGATATGTGTTTGGAGAAGAGGAGAAGAGGGTGATATAAATAGTGGCCAAAGAATGCCTTCCTGTCTCAGACTCCTCTGAGTTAGTCCTAAGTTGTGGTGAATTTGTTATAATTAAGGGCTAATTAAAGGTTAGTAATAGTATATTAGTGATCAATTACTTGTTGAAAGAACATGTGGCAGTGGTCCAAAGTAAGACAAATTGAATATTATCAGGCTTATGCCACCACCATGCAGACAAGGTAGTGACCTCTTCTATAATTTACCTTGAGCTTTAACCAACTTTAAGTGGGTCTCTCTTCTACACCATACATGAATCAAAAAAAGAGCTCAAAACACAATGAGTTTATCGGGGACCATTGGCACGCTTCTTAGCAAATTTAGGAGAAAAGGAAAGGGGAAGCATCTCAACCAAAACAATCGCATGTGACAATTTTCCCTCTCCTTCTTGGTTTCATGCATTACCAATGATCTCTCCCTCTCTTTCGTTAGGGAGAAAATAGCCATTCTCAATCCTAACGAATAGTTCGACAATGAAATATGGACGAGCAATAAACTGTAAATTTGGATGCTTCGCTCATGAGCACAAAATCATATAGATGACACAAAACAGATGATTACATGTAATTTATAAATAATTACATAAATTAATGACTGATGATAAAGTAGATTCAAAATTTCCTCAATTTAGAGAGAAAAAATAAAAAATGTATGTCATTTGTGGAAATGCATTAGTGAACCCTAATGTGTTTTATAAGAATAATACACTGTAACGTTTAAATTCCCACAAATTGTTTAATGATAGTTAAAATGAATATGAGACGAGCAGAAAAAATATAAATTCAGATGTTTTAGATTTCAAAGCTTTAGAAGCACAAAATCATTCAACTCATACATACATGTGACTTTTTAGAGAATTATATTGCAAGTAGTAAACATGTGATATTGTCCTCAATACCTAAAATCTAAAAGAAAATGGACCTACCTTAATTTATGAAATAGAATTAATGTGATTTGTGGAAAAGCTTGATCCTTGAGAACCTAATTGGTGTCAGCTACACATTAAAAGAATCTAAAAGAAAATGGACCTACCTTAATTTATGAAATAGAATGTGATTTGTGGAAAAGCTTGTTCCTTGAGAACCTAATTGGTGTCAGCTACACATTAAAAGCAACCTAAAAACGACAATGCCAAGTAATGTTTGGGAGTCCAATGTGTAAAGTGAACAATCTGATACAAGCAAATAAAAAATTATTTGTAATATATTCTGATAAAGTTGGTTTTGATATTGACATTCTGTTGGCTTTGAATTTGTTTCGATCCCTTTGGTAGGTTAGGGCAGATGGAACCAATAGATGCATGCAGAGTCATCCCAGTGAGAAAGTTTCGGAAAATGGAAAACAAAATATTCTAAAGAAAAGTTCCCAAACATATTGGCTTGATTCGGATACAAAACTCATGATTTTTATTTTTTAACTACAAATTATTTATTTTTAATATAAGCGATTTCTATAGTAAATTATCTAAATTATAAGGATAAAAATTTGAATTTGAATGCACTCATACCTTGAAAATCCCTCCAGCCATCGGATTTTGCCCACCTAACAGTTGGGCAAGACGGGCGCCGTAGGTTTTGCAATAGGCAACAATTGCGAGCGTGAGAAATTGAGGAAAACTCATTTCACCCAAATTCACCAATTTTACTTTCATTTCAACAATTCCTTCTTCAATCCTTAGACGCCACCAATAAGCTCTTAAAAATTGTCTACCTAAGAAAAAAATTATGATTCTACCACTAGGCGCAGATGAAGGAACACAATGTTCTAACAAACTTGCCTAAGTCCAACTCCATATTTTTTTTAACAACATTTTTAATATGCAAACAACATTTTACCACATTGATAAAAAATAATCATGCATATGCATCATGGTACAGATTCGACCCCAATCAATTCTCCTTCACCCATAACAACTGCCTATTTAACATACTAATTAAAGCGATCTCCACTAAAATAAAAACTACATTTTGAATATAAAAATATATCTTATTTGCAAAGAAGAAGCTTACATTGGTCTTGAAATTTGTAAATAAGATATTATTCGCTTGTTCGAATGGGCAACTGGAACTTAATAAACTATTCTTCAAATAAAGCTAGGTTGGATGTTGCAGTTGGTACAAGGATCTTTCTGGTTATGATAAATTTATATATCGCACTCTATCTCCACTTTTTTATTTTTTTCGTTTTATACTAAAAAACAAGTGTGGATGCATGAATAAGACATTTAACATATGACAACATGATGAGATATTGTTCATCTTTTTTTGTTTGGCTTGTGGGATATTTTCAATCTTATATTGCATTATTGCTCACTCTGTCACTCATTGTTTAATTACATGTTTCATCTATCAACGTTGGCAAAAACCATGAAGTGAATCTTCCTCTAATTTTCTCTTGGATCATTTGGTTTCAGTCCCTAATCAACCTAATTGTTAGATTGAAACCTTGTTTGTTTAAATATTTTGATCGAATTCCTTACCATCATTTAAAAGATTTAACTCATGCATTTAATGTCCACAAATTATGAAATTTAAACAAATTCAAATAATATTTTTAAAATGTATTAAGTACTTAAAAATAAACATTAGAGTAATATTGTTCTTCACAAAATTGTAGCAAGAAATAATGTACCCACATAATTCTTAACATGTTTAAAAAAATACCTATTGGTATATTTTAAACATAAAATAAATACATATAATTAGCATGGGTACATACATTTAGCAAAATTAAAAATGGGTGCAAATAAATTAAAAAATATGGGTACAAATACAATAAAACTTAAAAAATATGGACAAAAAAAATTAATATATGGGTACAAATTAAAACTGAAAAGAAAATTGTTACAAATTAAAAAAGGGTTGCAAACTAAAAATGGGTACAAACTAAAAATAAAAATATATGATAAATATTTAGCCATAAATTTAAATATATCAAATGTAACATTTCTAATACTAAATTATATATTTAGAAATAAAAAATATTGTATTATTGAAATAATTAATGACACTTATTAATACCTAAATACCTTGATAAAAAATTTTAAAAAAAAATTTAATCAATAGAGTAACAAAAAGAGAGATGAGAACATAATTTCTCATTTTCTTCCTCTCTGTTTTTCTAAGAGAAGAAGATCTGCCTTATGTCATAGATATTCAAAAGGAGAGACACATGTTATGCTAATGTGAAAGATACAAAATCTACTGTATCATATTGAAGGCTGGGACAGTGAGCAGTGCACCAAATTGGCACCCACTTGTGAAAAAAACATAAGTGCAAGTGTCACCTTCTACCTCTCTCATGAGATGTTTAAGAAGTTAAAACTTAGTGCAACTGGATACTACTTTTGTGACTCTCTCGATCCTCAAGTGATATGTCACGTGAGTGAAGAGAAAAACAAAAAGAGGCGTATAAGTACAACATACAACCCATTGCAATCTTTCTCCAAGCTAGAGTAACTTATCTGTAACTATAATATTGTATTTCAAATTAATCAAGTATATTATTATGTATTTTAACTTTCTCACATACCAACGCTTAATTAGTTCATGACAAATGTTAAGGGGACTTTTTTAAAAGTGAAACTCTTTGTGGATTCTCTGTCATCTCATAGCTTAACATCAATTCATGCGTGCCAACATTATAAAATATTATATCATAAACATGAAGTGATAGAAAAGTTATGAAGAGTTTCACTTTTAAAAGTCTCTTTAGCATTTCTCCTAATTAATTATATTGTGTATCCTCAACTCCTCCTAGTTGATGAGGATACACAATATATTTCACTAATACAAACCCCTCTCCATCGATCTTGGGGATTGATTTATCTAATGAATCAAGATTTCGAACTTTGAGATGGGTTGGTTCTACGCGCGACTTACATGTTTTAAATGTATTTATATGAGTAAATTGACAAAAAGAAAGTCAAATATTTGAAGTAAATAAATAATTTTAGATCATGCTAAAAGAAACGCCTCATATACCAATTAAAGCAGCTGAATTTACATAATAAAATCAATCTCTATAAAATTTACATTAAGAATCGGAAAAATAATATTTAATAAACAATTGATTGAATCACATTATTGCTAACTTATTGTGAAGGTAAGTCCACCCCCCTTCCTCCTTAGTGTAGATAATATTGTTTGCTTAAAAAAAATCATTTTGACAATTAATTTAATCATATTATTATCCGCGTGCGAAATATTTTTTTTATAACCGGCATTACACGCCTCTTAAGATATTTTGAACATGTTTAAAAAAAGAGAAATTAAATTACATTATTACTAACCTATTGTGAGATACTAATTAAAATATAAATAAATAACACTTTACCAAAAAATAAATTATTAAAAAAACATTGTTAAAATGATGAAAATGCCCCTGATTATATTTGTTTTGTTATAACATATTAATAAGTCTCATTTGATATGATAGGACATGAAAATGAAGTAGATATGTTATTGTATAACCAGATAAGTTTCATAACCAGATATGTTATTGTAGAAGCGATTCGTCGAGTTCACCGATCTAAAATGATATAAAATTTCGCTCAACATAATATAATTTAGGATAACGTACAAAAAACTACCTCAACTATTGATGTCATGACACTTTCATACCTCATCTTTTAAAATTGACAATGTCATACCACATCTTACAAATTTGTCCCAATGTTAGACCTCCGTCAGTTTTATGTTAAATGCTGACGTGGCCAGAGAAAGGACCCACTCACTTATCCAACTGGATTAAAAAATAATAACATATATATTTTAATAATTAAATATTCAAAAATTAAAATACTAAAATTAAAAAAAAAAAACCTAAGGGATCCAGCCTTCCCTTCCACCCGTAGCACCAACCTTCTTCTTCTCTTCAACATCCACCAAAACCCAGAAACCTTCCGCCACCCGTCCCCCTAACCTTCCCTAACCCACTAACGTACCCTCATCCCCCACCTCTTCCCTTCCCTTTCAAACCCAAACCTAACCCTAATTCCCCCTTTTTAAACAGAAGCCATCGACCCCATCACTTTGATTCTTTCACAGACCCCTAACCCTCGGCACCGTATTGTCACAAGTTTCCAAGCGAGCGCCATCAGCTACACTCTTCGCGATCGTGCTATGGCCGAAACGACGCCGTTGTCGGGCGCTCCGCAGCCAAGCAAGCTGTGGAAAGGGGTTTTTGCAGTGGCCGAAATCATGACCACGCTCGTCACCTACGACATTCTCCAGGTCACCTAATACCTCACATTTCTCTAATTCTTCAAATCGATCTTTGTTTTCGCGGCGAAAATGTTGAATCTTTTGCTTCGATTTCTTGCTGGAGAAGATCAGGAGAGTGCTGTACGGCGATGACAAGGCGTTTTACAAGTACTCGATTTTCCTCGTCTTCTGCAACCGCATCACGACGTCAACGGTCTTCGCCAAAGTTTTGTGGGCCAGAAAAAAGGCTCTAGATCCTGTTGCTCCAGTTTAGGGTTTGGGTTCGAAAGGGACAGGAAGAGGTGGGGAATAGGGGTGGGTTAGGGAAGGTTGGGGGGATGGGTGGAGGAAGGTTTATAGGTTTTGGTGGCTGTCGAAGAAAAAAAGAAGGTACGAGTGGAGAAAATGGTTGGTGTTGCAGGTGAAAGGGAAGGGCAAATCCCTTAGGCCATTTTTTTATTTTTTTTAGTTTTTAACAATTTTTTTTAAATTTTTGAATATTTAATTATTACAATATATTTTTTATTATTTTTTAATCCAGTTGGATTAATGAGTGGGTCCTCTCTGGCCAAGTTAGCATTTAACAAAAAAAATAACAGAAAAACTGACAGAAGTCCGACATTGGCACAAATTTGTAATATGAGGTATGACATTGTCAATTTTAAAAGATGAAGTATGAAAGTGTCGTAACACCAATAGTTAAAGTAGTTTTGTGTATTTTACCCTATAATTTTAAAAATTAATAGTATGTGTATAAAGATGAATGTCTTCATTTACCTGAAGAACTTATGAATAATAGTCACAACATCACTTTTTTGCTATTGTTATTTCGAGTATTCACATCTCATCCATATGTTCCATAAGATATCATTTGGTATGTAAACGGAACAGAGAAAAAGTAAAGATGTCCACGAATGGAAACAAGAAGGAAGAAGATTGAGAGGTTATAATTTACACAATGATATTGTATAGGATCAGCCCGACACAATCTTTTTAACCTAATGATCTATAATTTGCACAATGATATCCAATTATATTGTGTATTCTTAACTCCTAATTGATGAGGACACACAACATAATTAACTAACGCGCCCCTCTATCGACCTTGGAGATTGATGTCTAATGAATCAAGACTTCGAGATGTGTGACAATTAATCCATCGTTCCATATAAGGAGTCAATCAGCAATCTATCATCCAATTTAAAGAGAAAAAGTAAATAGGATGTACCAAAATGGGCACAAATTTGAGGGGGAGTTTCAAGCCGACTTTTTTTCAGAAAAAGCAGCAAGAGATATGGCAATGGATTGGTGGGCCTAATATGGCTGAGAAGAGAATCTCTGTTCATGGGGGAGTCTGCGAACAATATATAAATAACCCTCATGCACCCGCGTGAGGGTTAGATATTTTTTTATTCACAAAGTGTTACACACAACTTACATATTTTAGATGTATTCATATGCGTAAATTGATAAAAAAAAAATATTTAAAATAAATAAGTAATCTTAGATCATGCCTAAAAACCACTCCTAAACTAATTAAAGGAACTAAAATCACATAATAAAATCGATCATGATAAAAATTTTGTTAAGAATGTACAAGAAATTTTTTGATTACAACGTGCTACGCACGACTTATATATTTTAAATGTATTTATATACGTAAATTAATAAAAAGAATGTTAAATATTTGAAATAAAGAATAAATTTTAGATCGTGCTAGAATAAATCCCTCTTAAACTAATTAAAACATCTAAATTCACATAATACAAACAACCTCTAAAGAAATTACATTAAGAATAAAGATAATAATATTTAATAAATAATTAATTAAATCATATTATTGTTAGTCTATTTTAAAGCTAAACTCATCATTTCCTCCTTAATATAAATCATATTGTTTGTTAGAAAAAAATCATTTTACTACTAATTTAATCATATTATTATCTACATGTAACATATAATTCTTATCTCATTTTGAACGTATTTAAAAATTTACAAATTGAATCACATTATTTCTAACCTATGTAATAATTTTTTTTTAAAGCTCAAAAATTAATTGTTAAAATAGCAAAAATACCCCTAATTTGTTTAATGCATTATTTTGGAATGCCTTTAAAAAATTTCGTCTAGGAAGCATTTTTGTTTTTTTTTGTTTTTTTGTTGGAACTTGTTGACACCAAAAGCACTATTCATCTTTGCTTTATATAAAAGATGCAATAATCAAATCACATTGGATTAAACCAATGTTTTAGTTCAGACAAGAATTGATGCTAAATAACTCATCCAATCTTAGTGCGGACGCCAGTCAATCAAACACTCCACCATTATAGTTTGTAGTCTCAAACCTTTAAGAGAAAATTTGGAGACCAGCAGTCCAACACATCAACAGAAACAAATAAAAACTCCTGACATTTCACCACAAGTTCGGTTGTACAAAGTCATATATGCTGTGTGAGTGTGGCCTAGCTTCACACTTCTCTGCATAAATTTCTCTGGCTGAGCATTTTTATTTCCATATTAACTTGGTGTTAAATCTCTAACTCCCATTCACATATACATGTTGAAAAAAAACAAACATATCATTCTCTTGGTGTAATAGTAATTTTTATCTAACAAATAAGTCTACTACACTCAGAAGGACAGTTGTACTGGATGTAAGAGGGAACTAAGTTACAAAGTATTGAACAATCCTAATATTGTATCATCGAACCCAAAATTCTAAGTTCGAATCTATCTGCCAACACAAAACAAAGTACATGGTAAATAACTGGTAGAGTTGAATTCTTACTACACACCAGTTTATAAAAATCTTAACACCCACCAAAATCTGTGTAGATACCCAATCTGCATCAGGAATATTTACACGAGAAAATTATATTTACATATAAACATCTTCGAGGTGCGGGTCAATCTTACACTGTTAGGGGGGTTAGATCACCGAACAGCTTATAATTTAGAAAAAAAAGTAAGAACAAACAGAAAAGCTGGGAGCAAAAAAGAGAAAGTTAGAACGCATGCTAGGAAAGACAAATAAATCTAAGACCACAGGAATATACTATGATGTACTTACAGTGATATCTCATAACTTTATGCTGCTTTTCTTGTTCCAAAGGTTGAGAGGATGGTTGGCTTTCTGTGTTTTTTGGGTCCCCAAAACAGGAAGGAGTGAAGCTGTCAGAGCATGACCTAGCCAGGGTTAATAGAACTGATACATATATACGTGATTATATACATCTTTAGCCAAAGCTAGATCATGCTGGCAGCTTCACTTTTTCCCTTGTGAACTTACTTTCTTTACTCAGAGACTAGGTCAACTCTTGCTCTCAAGATTGTGTGGATGAACAAAAGGAGAATGAATATCTACGACAAGCTAGGGCTACTGGAGCACAGAATGAAAATAAGGAAAAAAATGATAAGGGCCAAAAAAGTTTAAGAAATATATAGTGCATGAACATCCACGACGAGCTAACAAAAATAAAAGAACATCCGCGATTATAAAAATCTGATCCTTGAAATATATATAGCTGGGTCATAACAAGTTTATGAAAATATTGCATAAACTTCAATATATAATGAAATTACGATTTTAAACAAAAGTATTGACCAAGAAAAAACTAAATCTAGAGCAAATCTTGGCAAGAAAATAAAAAAAGATATTATTTATCCATTGGGTAACTTTTGCAAGAAAAAGAAAGGTATTCTTTCTCCATTGGCTAACTAGAAAAGGAGTATGGTTTTTTTCTTTTGGAAAGTAAAAGAAGATGAAATTTTATAAAAAATAAAATAAAAATGGGAGAGCAAGGAAAAATAAGGAGACTGGAGAAGAACGCAAGAGATGCAGAAACCTGAGGGCATGTGTTGATGTATATAGGGTGGAACTGAGACAGATGTTGCATTTGGATTGGTTGAAATGAGACAGATGTTAAAGAGGTAGGGTTCATAAAAACCAACCCTAGCCCCCTTCTCTTCTTAAGCGGTGAATTAAAGAGGCATCAGCATGTGGCAAAAAAAGGACTGGAAATATTAACAGCTATTGCAGCTATCAATCTGTATAGGCTGTGCTAAAACAGTGTTTAGGTATCACAGGTGGAAGATATATAGAGCGGCTTTGCAGTGGCCATAGCCCCGAGTCTCCTTCTCTCTCTAAAAACCCTAAAGAAAATTTAGAAAACTGTAGACTGTGGACTGGAGGAATAGAGGGAGATGGGGTTTGTTCTAAAAAGTACTCAACAAAAATTCAAACACACTGTTGCTACACAACAGAAAAGGCCACGATACTTCAATTATTGGGTTTACTAGAATTTTGATTTAAGGGGATGTACTGACATTCTCAGCTGAATTTTTTTATTTTACATTCTCGACTATTCTTCTTTTATTGTAATATTTCATATAGATCGAAACATTTTACTTTTTAGTTTACTCTTTAAATTACCTATGCATAAAATTAACCCAATAAAGAATTGTTTAACTATTTGATTACGTTGTAAAAATATTCAATGTTTAATTAAATATTAGATAGCTATTAGATTTATTGAATAGCCGATAGATTTCTAACTGTTTCAAGTTTAATTGATACTAACGAAAAATGGATTTGAAAAGGTGACTTAAAAAAAATTGAAAGTTCAAATTTTCGTACAACAGTTAGCTAATGACAAGGAAAATAAGAAAAGAGAACAAGAATTTTATTTTCGAATTTTTTATGGCTGAAAGAGCATCACAATTAGTTTGTACTTCATAGAGATATCTCTGCATTGGACGACAGTGAGTAGTCAGTTGTCAATTGATCATGTTTGCTGCAAGCGTGATAACTGAGCAGCAAACGCAATGCATATTCAAATTTTCCCGTGATGTTTGATATTACAGGACGCTCTTCCTTCTGAATTTTGTTTCATACAAACTTGATATGATCTATTGATTTGATAAACGTTAATTTGTCATCAAAGTTCTTTTTAAAGACGTGGGATCTGATCTGATCTGATGGATGGGTGCTTGTTTCGATGGAGATGAAGATCACAGTAAACGTTGGTCCTCTTTCCTTCCATGCCCTGCGTCTGCGTGCTTTCTCATTGCAGACGGCTCGTTTTTTGACGCCCTAGTAGCTACCTGTGAGATAGCCTTTCAAAGTTTTTGGTAATTTTTTTTTTTGGACAAGTTTGAAATCGACTGGATTTTTCTTTTCCTCTCATAAATAAACTTGAGCAATTGGTGAAATAATTAGTCTACAAAGTTTAACTATTGGAATGATCGCTTTTTCAGTATCTGGTTAATATGTGATCAAAGTTTAATTATTAGATTGTAGGACTAGTTGAACAGTTTGGACAAATGATATTATCTACATTAAAGAAAAATGATGGACTTAGCCTCATAATAAGCTAGCAATAATGTGGTTCAAACTTATCTTTGCCGAGAATCAAACATTTCACTTAAAAACGAAAGAGAATATCACTAGATCATAATACTAAGTAACTATTCAAATTGTTAAACACCTAAAATGGTCCATCTTTTTTTCTTTTTTTTTTCTTTTTTTTTTTTGCCATTTTCCTTCATTTAAAGGTCCAAAAATAATGAAATCTGAAGATTGAGATGGGACTAGTCTTAACATCTGAAATAAGAAGTAAATGCAACAGTCGGGGCAGTCTGTGATCTCCTGCTATAGGGTGGGGTGCTCCTATATCTTTCCCCTGTTAACCTGCAGCACAGTAACTGAGAGGAAGAAGAAGATAGAGCAAGCGACCTTTTCATTTCTCTTGGTATGCTAACATTACATTTATTTGGCTGCTCAAGATATGCCATCATTTAGCCCAGACCCTATTGGGTTGGTTAGGAAATTGGTTTCGCATGTTTAATTTGCCGCAACACATCACATGTCAGTACAACGTGCCAAATACAAACACGTATCTCTTTTTTATTACACGACTTGTCACGTAATAAAAGATACAAAAAATATCGTACAGAAGATACAGACAATTGACTGTATACAACATCTGGTACTTGTGCCGAGGAGTCCCTTATAGTACATGCAATGTATCTCTCTCCGAGTCTCTCTATCTCATGCACATACAAGAAAATCACATGCAATGTGTCTATCTCGCACTATCTCACCCACACACAAGAAAATCATGTGACGAGAGAAACAAGAATTTATCTTGAGAAGTGACCTTTTGTATGTTTCTATATCACAACTATGGTGATTTATTGGCCCATTGCTTCTAAAAAATCAATAAGGTGAAGAAAAAAAACAATCATTCTCGAAGAACTGTGGTTCATTTGGTGAAAATTTTCACCTGTTCAGTTTCATGAACTCGTCTGTCTGGTATTTCCCGCGATTTGAAGTACGCGGTTCCTGAATTATGTCGAAATCCATCCAAACTCTGTTGTTACATTGTAATTTCTCCTTCAATAGCTGCTGGAAAGCAACCTAATAACCAACTCCAATAGCTCTTTCTTGGCACACAAGGTTGGACTCAAACATGTTTTGGAGAAGTTATTGATGCAAGTAGAATTTCCAACCATTGTATCCCGCACACTGCATTCGGGGAGCAGATAATTAGCACAAGAGATGTAGCGGCAAGCACATCGAACCAATGTTTCAACGATCCCACCAGCAGTAGTAAATCCAAGACATCCATACTTGTTTGTGAAGAAATTTAAATACAATGTTCAACTGTCACCAGAAATCGCCACAAGAACAGATACCATCTTCAAAGTGATGAAATCTATTTGCATCCCTCACAACAAGCACCCGCCTAAAAACCTTTGAAACTAGTTTAATGAAATTATGGCAATCGCCACAAACCCGAAGGTTCTTGGTGATTCGGATAGGGGTTCCTTTGGGAGTTTTAAGCAGACCGTATGCAATTGCCAGCCTTTCACTATGTCCATAAAGCATTTTAACTCTCTCTTCTTCCTCTACATTGTGCAAAACAAATTTGGTTTGAGCCACATAATCTACTTCTCTCTCCAATTTCTCTGTGATTTGAGCTAACTTGAGGTAAATATCATCGGACTGCGGATGAGATTTATCCCTCGCCGTGAATGTATGAACCTTGTTTCCAACCTCAATCCAACTACATCCCGGATTTTTCTTCAATCCACTCCCCTTCATTCTCAACCTCACTTCATCTACATCTTTCCATCTTCCACTAGCAGCAAACACATTAGATACAAGCACATAATTTCCAGGATTCTCCGGGTCCAACTCTAAGATTTTCTTTGCTGCAATTTCTCCGAATTCTTTGTTAGAATGAACCCGGCAAGCCCCAAGGAGTGCACACCATACCTCAGCTGTAGGTTCACTCTGCATGCTATTCGTAAAATGGTATGCCTCTTCCAACCGATTGGCGCGACCAAGAAGATCAACCATACAGGCAGAATGTTCAGGCCATGGTTCCAAATGATATTCATCTCTCATAATTTCAAATATTCTTTTACCCTCATCAATCAAGCCCGAATGACTGCAGGCATATAGAAGAGCCAAAAACGTAATATGATCAGGAACATTTCTTTCACCTTCCATCTGCTCGAATAAATCAATGGCTGCCTTGCCTTGGCCATGCATTCCATACGCATTAATCATGGTAGTCCACAAAATTAGACTTCTATTTTTAATACAGTTATATACCTCATATGCATTCTCCAAAGTTCCAGAGCGGGCATACATATCGACTAGAGAGCTTCCAAGAGATCCCTCTAAGATGAAGCCCTTCCGGATAAGAAAACCATGAATCTCTTTCCCTTTCTTCAGAGCAGATAAACTCGCAACAGCCGATAGTATACTAACTAGTGCTATAGCATCAGGTTCAACATTTGTTTCCTTCATGAAGTGGCATAGTTCAAGGGCCTCATTTGCAAACCCATTATGAACATAACAAGAGATCATGCTCGTCCAAGACACAATATCCTTAGAGTCAATCAATTCGAACATCAGCTCTGCATATTTCACATATCCACACTCTCCATATAGGTTGACAACTGCATTTTGTAACACCAGATTGAATAAACCTGTTCTCACAGCGTAACCATGAACTTCTTTTACCCAAGAAACACATTTCAAGGCCCCACAAACAGCTAAAATGCTTTCTACCATCATTGCATCAGCATCCAATTGGAGCGTCTGCACCTTCCGGCACAATTCTAAGGCCCTTAAGTGACAATTATTCTGAGCATAGCCAGCAATAACAGTTGTCCAAGAAATTAAGTCCTTAGTAGGCATCTTGTCAAAAGCACGGCCCATGAAATTCACACAACCACACCTAGCATACATATCTATCAGTGTATTTCCGAGCTGCAAATCAGAGTCGAATCCCTTTTTAATCGCATAAGCATGAGCTTCCAACCCAGACAACAAATCTCCTAATCGACCGGATGCTGCAAGGATATTTAATAGTGAAACCTGGTCAGGTTTTGTATCAGTACTCTGCATATCTCGGAACAACAGCAGGGTTTCGTCATATAGACCATTCTGGGAAAAACCAGAGAGCATGGTATTCCACGAAACAACATCCTTGGCATCCAAGTCTCTGAAGATTATTGCAGCCTCATGCATGTTACCACATCTCACGTACATAGCAAGCAAAGAATTCGCCACATAAATGTCAAAGAAGTGACCCGATTTCAACACAGCAGCATGGATCTCCATACCAAGTTTACCACAAAAAGAATCCTCGCAGGCTTGAAGAGCGGCGACAAGGGTATATGAGTTCAGGGCAAGTCCCGAGCTTAGCATTTCTCGAAACAGCCCCAATGCTTCAGCTGATTTCCCATTTGCGGAATACGCTGAAATAATTGAATTCCACGACACAATATCCTCTTTTTCCTTCACACCATCAAATAACTTCCTCGCCCCGTCAACACATTTGCAGTTTGCATACATCGAAGCTAGTGAGTTGACAACGAGTGTTACATTACTATACCCGTATTTGATAGCCAGACCATGAATTTCTGCCCCATAACGGAGATTGTTAATCGCAACGCACGCTTTCAGAATACAAGGAAAAGTGCAAGAATCGAGAGGTTCCTCCAAAACCCTCATGTCCCTATACAGCTCCAGAGCTTTCCAAGGCTTCCCGTTTGAAGCACAAGCAGCAATCATCGCGTTCCAACTGAAAACCGTTCTGTGGGACATTTTATCAAACACCTTCTCCGCGTCCAAAAGAGAGCCACATTTCCCGTACATAAAAACAAGCTTAGTACTCAGAAACGCAGAATCGGGCACATCACAGCATTTGATCAACTGGGCGTGGATTTGCTGCCCTTCTGAGAGAGCCTTCTCGTTTGCGCAGAGCTCGAGGACCGGCGAGTAAGCCGCATCTAGAGAGAGCTGAAGGGAATTTGGATGAGTGAGCAAACTGCCGAGTGAGTGAAAAGCTTCCCCGAGGCTTCCTCCGTCGCAAACCTCCTTCAAGGAAGGTAATTTAATGGGATTTTGAGGGTGTTTGAAGAAGTGGAGAATCGGGTTTGGCAGAGCTTTCTTCAACATAGAGTGGCGGTGCACGGCGGAGGAAGTGGAGGAGCAGTAGTGTCGGGTTGAAGTAGCCATTACATTAGGCCGAGTACGTGCATGGCAAACGCAAGCGCTGCGCGGGACTATATTCTAGCGCATAACGAGCGTAATGCATGCGTTTTAAATTAAGCTTTGATGCACTAGGACGGAGATTCGAACTCAAGTGCAGCGGAATTCAATTTTGAGTGCAAGCGGACCACGCAATACTACAAACAACTGATCTCAAAAAAAAAAATATCTACGTCAGTTTATTTTTTTCCAAGATGCATTTTGTTATTACCAGTTTCAAAATAATGACATGTTTACCTATTTAGAACGAGAGAGTCAAAAATTAGATAAATTGGGCACAGGTGATTATAAATTGTGAACTGACATGCTTTTGATTTTGTATCCAATACTAACCACAACGAAGTAAAGAATCAAAATAATTCTAATACTAACATTCTAGTAAATGCTCGAGTAAAGAATCAAAATAATGCTAACTGGCAAAAAACACACTTTGTGTATGTGTAAACAATTTTTCTTAATAAGTGCATATTTTTTTTAATATTATATAATTACTGTTTTGTCCTCCTTATGTAAATATTATGTATCAAAAGTGAGTAAAATTAGAAAAATATGATTGTCATTATCTAAAAATAATGGTAAAATAGGAAAAATAGGGATATGAATGTCATTTTGTCAAAAAGTACAAAATTACTATTTTACCCTCCTTTTTGTCAATAGTGTGCATCAAAAGCGAGCAAAATAGGAAAAAAATGGGAAAAAAAAGTTGACAAGAAAAGTTTTCTTAATAATAGTATAGATACTAACGTTCTTCTAGTAAATGCTCGAGAAGTTGTGAATTAGAATAATTCCACTACCGAATCGAAAACAAAACACAACCTTTAGTTCGTGGGAGAGGGGTAAATTTTACAAAAAGAAATGGGCAATAATAAGTGCCCAAAATGCACTATTTCAAAAAGAATTGTAGCCAAAAAATGCCCACAATTGACCAATTTGACACTGGACCGATCATTTTTCACCCAAACGTCCCCATTCCTGGCACACTTGTCTGCTATACAACTTCCATCACACACCGTGTTAGTCCAACTATTTACATTAAAAATAACAAACAAACCAAAAAACCTGTAAGACTGGGACGCTCCTCGTCCGAAATGGAGATCCTCCTATTCATCCTAAAAGCATCGAGTATCGCCTTCCCGATCAGATGCTCAACCTGGTGTAGCAAAGATCCTGACAGGCAGCATGCTTGCGTGGTTTTCAACACAACAATTAGTTTATGGGTGGCTTCGTCTTTACTGTCAATCCTGTATAGTTTTCTCCTGTTCCGGTCCAGGCCAGCCCTGCTGTCACATTTGTACCCTTTAGCATGAGCAGCACTTCCGTTCTTTTCATCACGAGGGTTTGGGTCTTAGTTAGAACCGAGAGCTGCCCCATTTGCTGAAGTTATCACACTTGAATCGTATTTTAGGATCATCACCCCTGATTCATTGATGCTCTCAAGCTTTCCTCTGGCACTGTCCATGACAGCAAATGCCCGCCAGAATCCCCGCTTAGTAACTGCTTGAGGTCATTTGTAAGGAGAAGGGCAGTAACGGGATGCTTATGAAACTTGAGCACCTTGTGGAGGACCAACCTGTACTCTGGTACTTTATCATTGAGATTTAAACCACCCATCCCATTGGTCGTTGACTTCTGCTGGGAACTCTCGAGGTTGGTGTGGTGAACCATTTGCCACACCTTAACAGCCCCACTTTGATGACCCGTTACATACCAGTTTGTGTCCAGCCAATCAGAAAATGAACTACTTGTAACAGAAAGAATTGAATCAGAAGGCAGTTGAGACGTGTTAACCATTGCAAGGCAGTCCCCATTAACGCTCCAAACTGCAAGTAAAATTCCAGCTGCTGTCACAATATCCCCTGTCAAGTCATTCACATAAATCGCAGAAATCGGGGCTGGAAACTCAGGGAGCTGCCTAACAAAAACCAAGGAGCTGAGATCCCATATAACAACAGTGCAGTCATCTGATCCACTCACAATCAGCATGTAAGGCTGGCTAACATGAAGACATGTAATTCTGGATGCGTGGGCGCAAAGTGCCTTCTCCAACTGCAAGCGCCTCAAGACACGGGAGCCAGAATTACTGATTCTCCAAACAGAAACTAAACCATCATCAGCCCCAGTGACCAGAATCTGACCATCATGGCTAACGCCAGTACACTGAATCTGGTTGCCCCCATGAAGATTCTCATGTGTCGATAGGAGTCGATCTTGATCATAGCTCATAAATCTTAAGCTACGATCTGGGAAACCCCATGCAACATACTTGGTATACGTTCTTGGCTTAAGCAAACAATTTGTTCCTGCCACTAGGATTTTCTCATTGACAGTAACAATCTGAGTTATCGAAGACGATGTCTTGCGTATCTCATGCTGAACGAGATGGTGAGAGTACTTAAGTGGATGAGGAACCCTTCTGTTGACCTGCCTTTTCACATGGGGTTTGAGGAATAGCTGTTTGGGTGTCTGCCCAAAATGATTAATCTGTGCTAGAATTGAGGCTTTCATTGCAGGATCTGTCACCGAATCTATGTCTACACTCCCCTCGTACGTGTAGTGATAGAAAACATTCACAGCTTCCTCAGCTGCCTGTCAATTTCAAGGAAATTTATAATGAAAAGCAGACCAAAACAGAAAGTACTAAAGTAGAACACAAAGTCAGGACCAGAATAAGTGCGGTAAACAAGTGCTTGGCACATGAGAGCCAGAATAGAAAAATAGTCCAGTAGTATTATATCTCAGCAAATTTTCAACCAACAAGTTCTTTATCAAATTGAGCTTGTAATCCGTTACCAAGAAAAATTGAGCATTAAATATATGTTTGGTTGCAAAAATAAGCACATGCAAAGATGAGGACTTCACTATTCACCAGTTCAAGTTAGGTTTGGGTATATCTCATGCAATCACATATATGTGGGCAATATGTCTCTAGGTGCGGTAAATACTGAACTGAAAGATGAAACTAAAATGATGCCACAAATTTCTCTGAAGAACTTCCAGGTGCACAAGTACAACTTTATGAGGCCTATTAAAAGCTTATGAATGAGTTGCAGCGTGCCAAGAACGAATCTCGATACGAACCTTTCCTCTCTGTTTATATCCAAAAATGAGATCTATCCAATGATGCAAATTTTGTGAAACGTAGTCAGATTCCAGGGCCTGCCTGTGCTTCCTGATGAATTCTCTAGCACTGCCTTTAGCCCATGGAGGTAAGCCAACATCACCAACCTAATGATAGAAATTAAAGAGATAATGTTTAAATTCTCAAATAGTAGAAAAAGAAGAAGATTCAAGTAGCATTGGGCTCTTGCTCTTAAATAAAAAAGTGGCATTTGGCTAGAGCACAAAAAAACCCAGTTCCCCTACCTTAACTATTAGCATTTTCAAAATTGTATGTACCAACAAAAGAAAACTTTTGTTAGAGCATCTTATTTTGTTTATTAGAAATCACAATATTTTGTTTATTAGAATGCACAATAGAAAGTTGTACACGTCTACCCAAATGGTATATGCATTTGGGCCCTCAAGGGTGGTCGATGACTGTCAACCGTCAAATAATTTTTATTCTTAGTAAGGGATTAAGATGTTTCACCTTCTCTCCTGATTGCTTCTCTCCCAAATCAAGATTGAAACGATTTTCCAGGAACTCTGGCATGTAGAAAAATTCAGGAATCAACTCCTTCACATCTGATGTGTTGCCCTTTCCAGCTGCACTGAACCAAGTATCTTTAATACTATTAAAAAGACGATCAGCATGGTCAAATTGCCCTCCCTGTAGCTTTTGATTCTCTGTACTGAAAGGTGGTAGGCGTAGAAGATAGAAGAGGACAATCCCAGCACTGGAATAATGAGAACCATAATGGAACTTTGGGACCTCCGGATCATCCCAGCTCTCGTACCTGAGTAGAGAAGGAAAGATAAGATGAATAAATAAACAGTGCTGATAACATACGTCCAAAAATGTGTTTCTGCATATAGAAAACCATGCTAGAGGAAGTGCTTCATGTGGTTAAAACAACTATACAGAAATGAAACAGGAAATACTGTAATCAAAGAAAACACAACTTAAAACTTAAAAGTGAAATAAGAATAAACCAGTGGAATTGATATTACCTTTTCCTGAATTCTTCTCTGCCCTCTAATGTTTGACAACCCATCGGTTTGTCAAGTCCACGAAAAGTCTTGGGATCTGATAAGTCCAGGTTTTCACTCTCATAATCTGCCAGAACCCATGGAAACACTGGATATTGGGTAAGATCACTGTATCCCCGTCCTGCCAACGTGTTGAGATGCATGAGGTACTGGAAATTGCTTATTTCTCCATTTTGCCACCTCTTTGAAAAGGACTTGGCCATTGACTTAAATAGGCGGCTACCCTCATTGCTTTCTTGTTTTGCTGATCCTGATATGGTTGTGTCCAACCTAAAGCAAGGAATAGAATTATGAATTAAAAAATTACTGGCAAAAATCCCAAAGGTGATGCAGAAGATATTCGACAGGAAAACCATCAATACATAAGTAAAACACTAATATAGGTAAATTTGCGGTTCATATCTTAAATGCTATGTTCCACAATATACACTTGCACAGTTTCAACATCCCGAGTCCCAAAAGGGCACACAAACAAAACACACACAAAGACAGACATACACACACTAGTAGACCAAAAAAATCATGCAAAATAACACGAAAAGGACTATTGGAAAAAAAAAATTAGAGGGAACCGGGAATTGATTGCTTACATGCTATTTCTGGGAAGATTCATGGCTACTAGATTTTTGAAAACTTCTTCCCTTTCTTTTTTGTGGAACACCAAAAGATCATTACATCCATCCATGCTAAAGATTTCAACAGCAACAGGACGCAACTGGTAATCACGCTTCAAAAGCTCATGAACACTGTTAAGTTTCCACATGTTCCAAGGGTGAGGTAGATTACCACTAGTACAGACTTTCTCCTTTCCCCATGCACCGCCATTGTAGGCCCATGCTCTTCCCCCAACTCCTGACTTTACTGTTACTCCCCAAGATGAAGTTGACTTTGAATGGAAATCCATAGTAACATCCTTCTTTACACCAAGAGCCTGATCAATGATAGAGAGTTCATCTTCGCATTCCTTTTCACAAATACACCCAGAGTCGTCGATATAGAAGTTTTCAATCACATACAAAGAATGCTCGCCTATTAAAAATATACCATCATGCTTGTCCAGACCCATAACTCGTTCACAATTATACCGAAATCGTATCTTTTCAAAAGGTTCCAGATAAGGCCTGATCAGGTATTCACCATTATCATGGAGTTCCTTATCCGATTTATCATCTGTGACTTTGACATCATCGATTCTTGCAGAAGAAGATTGCCATGGAGACCCTAGGTCAGATCTTTCATGTACACTGTCATCTATGGGGACAGATGCTGAACTAGATTTTCCACCAAACTCGAGTGCAGAGTGCAAACTTGCTTCATTGATACTACTAGCTCTATCATCATTCCATTCATGACTAACAGAAGCAACATCTTTGGCATTATCAGGTTCTTTAAGAAATGACCCTTCATACAGTTCACCATCAAGGCCATTCTGTTTGGCACTATCAGTCAAAAGTTGAAAGTATGACTCAGAATCATTATCAGAAGCATCCAGATCATTCTCATTATTCTCTTTGGACAGCTCTGCTTCCCTTACTTCAAATTGTCCATCAAGAACATTTTGGATAGTATCAAGTTTCAATCTGCAGCGCTCAAGTTTTTTGCGCATCCTGTATGGACCTTCAATTGGACAAAGCTGCCAATCAGGATCCCGATTAACAGAGGATTTTTGCATTGGGAATATTCCCCGCTCATGGACAAGTTGTTGAAGATGCGTTTGCCACTCGCTCTCAGCATGCAGAACCCATCCATACTTGTCTTGACGCACCACTCTTAGTTCAGTGGACATTGCATCACGCACCAATTCCAGTGCATATCTCCGTTCATTCACCTGCTCCCAGTGCTTTATATCTAACTTTGATGTATCCCTTGATTTTCTCCCCATTTCTCTCTTGCGACGACCCTCCATAGCTTTAATTCTCACTCCTGGAAATTTTGCTGATCCAGTAATATACTGTACCCACATAATGGAAGCACACTGCTCTAGTACTTTATTCACCATCACTTCAGAACTCTGAAGCCATTCAAAGAAAGCAGATAAATTTTCAGTCAATATTAATAACTTGTCAAATCCCCCATGTAGCACATCCAGTTGGTGTCCTTGATTTGGTTTAGAAACCAGCAGATCTTCTAGAGCTACCTGACGATGCACCAGGAGATACTTGACAATATCAACAGCCATGTTCTGCACATTCTGTCGTTGGTCATGCAGGAGAGATATTAAGTTGACACAAAGACAACAATTTATATCGGTATCCATATTGCTGGGACAGAATATAATTCGCCTGTGAGCAACTAATAACTGTAAGACTGTGCCGATATTAATTCCTGAATTATCATGTGAAGAGTTGGAGGAAGCTCTCTTCTTTGATTCAACTAGCAAACCTAAGGACAAAAGCAGATCATCTTCTCCTATTGAAGACAAGAATGATGGCAGAAAACAATACAGTATCATACGATTTGTATTTTTAAGAATTGAATGTATATAAGCATCAAGTTGTCTGCTCCCTCTTGCAATAGATAAGAGGCTCTTCCCACTAGGAGTAGCTTCTTCAATTCGGCCATCTTTATTTGCTAATTGTAGCATGGATAATAAGAACTCAAGCGTCTTTAGTATTCCAGAGGGTTGAGGAAAAGCGCCCATATATGCACGATCCACTATCATCCAGCATAAGGAATCTAAATTTGAGGACCAACGATTTTTATCTAGCTTTTTCTCATTTTCTTCATCATCGCGCAAGAGACGCCTTTCCAGAAAGTTCATCAGTCTGCTAAGGCACAATCCTTGGAATACCAACATAGAATCTACATCAACATATAATGGAACACTTTCCAAGATTCCCTCTATAATCTGTGATGCTTTAATTTGCTCGGTCACAAACTCAGAAAGAACTTCTGCAATAAAATCTAAAACAGCAGTGGCTCCAGCGGAACAAGGACCACCTCCATAGCCACAATCATCCATTTCAAGAAGTAGCTTTGGACTAGCTGAAAAAAAATTACTTGCATTAGAAGGCCCAGGAGACTTCAGCTCTGCAGATGGATCAAATTCAGTGGTAGTCGCAGAAGAATCAATGGAAGGAGTGGCAACCAAGGGAGATTTGAATTCATTATAGCCCACACTTCCCAGCCAAGATGTCAATGCTAAAACAGGAGAAGGAGAGGGTGTAAGTGGGAGCCTCGAACTAGACTTCTCTGATAAATTGGGAGAATCAAGCATGGTAAAAGATGCGGAACTCTCAGAATCCACTGGTTTAAGGGGTTCCAGGGTGACCTTACGGAAACTAAAATCATTTGTGCTGGATGTGGCAGAAACTTGGTCAGCATTGTCACCATCTAAGCTCTGAACAGCTTGTACATCCTCTTGCACTGATATGTGCAATCCCGGCTGGGCTGTAATAGCCTTGGTCTTTGCTTTATCATCGGCCCCAGAATTTAGGGGAACAGCCGTATCTTCAGAACTTGAACTCACCTGAGCAGGAGGGAAGCTTCCAACACTGATGGAGGTTTTGGCAGACTGATCCTGTTCATGAGGTAGGCTAGAAAACGTGTTCTGTGAACTACAGGTATCGTCACAATCATTCAAGTTCTTCTCTTCTGCCTTTACAGATAGCTCCTTCGCCATCTTCACAGCATGGGCCGCTCTGTAAGAAACAAGATAATGAGTTGAGTAAAAAGAGAAGTTCTAAGAAAAACCAGTAAAATTTAGATTAACAGTATCAATGTCAGAGAATACTCGGTCCCATGACAAACCTGACACAAGAAAAATATAGGTCAATGCAGCCTTCGAGAAACTCTGCTCGTTTGCAGACAGCAGTGAAAGGGGGGCACATTTTTGCCAAATCAACCATAAATCTCAAGACTGAAGTAGCAGCAAAAGGGGCTGATGCCTCCCCACCCATTAAGCGTGCCGCATATGTTTTATGCATCAATGCTTCACCTTGAAGCTCCCCGGCCATGTCTGCATTTCCATTCACGAGTTCTGCCACAAGGCCAGCACCAACCTGGGAAAGATTACCAGATTGGTGAGCAAGCATTGACTGAATGCTCAGCCTATCAAATGTAGATTTTGCCATGGTAATAACAGATTCCAACAATTCTACGAATTTCAGTTCCACATTACTTCCATCATTTGGCATAAGTGCATGAAAGTCTAGCATGCGAACTTCTGGCAATCTAGGATAGACAGACTTTCCGAATATCAGACAGAACAAAATGTAATATATGTCTGGGGAATCATAGAAGCTTGGAAGCACCCGGGTCAAGCCTTGATAACCTCCACTTGTCCGAAACTTTAGCGCAAATGTAGGAGACGAAGTAAGACAAACTCCAAGAAGAGTCATGATCCATCTCATACTTGTTGGGTGAACAGATTCATCTAGAAAATATGTAATCAATTTAGAAGAAACAATCTTATGCCACTGCTCAAGCAATTCTTCGGATTTAATGGTTACTTGCAGATCAATAAGCATCTCCAGCAGCATGTTTCTCACGATTACATGCTTTCCCATGGCCTCACGCACTATTGGATGTCGGGGTGTCAATTCAGGTGGATCAAATGTCATAATCACAAACCGAACCACATGTTCCAGTTCAGAAGAGAGAAACCCATCTTCTAAAATGACACCAAGCAATACAACCAATTTCTCCAAAACGGGAACTTCAACATCACCCCGCTGTAGAGTAACTAATAAATGTTGAACAAGGTTTATTCGGCGCAGAACAGTAAGGTTATGATTTCTGTACCAGTGCATGGACACTAGATGCTCAAGAAAACCAAGAAGTGCAATTTGAATTGCAACTGGAGCCGTTACCCACAATGTCCAATCCAACAAGACATGTTCAACCATGTCTTCATTTGACAAGACAATGCAATTTGAGGTTTCATCCGGAATATCAGCACTTTCAAGCTCCGAAATGTGACTAAATGAATCTTTTGGTGCAGAAAAATCATCCATGTCTCCTTGAGATCCAACAGAAGAAAACTCATCACGAAACCTTGACAAATTAAGTTCCTCAAAACTGGTTTCCTGCATAGTTGTAACTGGTGACAAATTAGTCCGATTATATTTCAACTTCCTCGGTTCCGAAAATGAAGCTTCACAAGCAGCAATCTGGAAAAAGATCTCAAGAGATTGCATGTCAAACAGTGACATTTGACGACGCAAAAAGAGAGCCAACAAATGGTATCCCCGGCATTTTTGCATGTCTCTCACATTCTGAGGATTCTGATGAAGGGCAGAGGCCAGTAAAGTAAGGGCCATTTGTAGCATGTCCCTAGTCTCAGCAGCCTCAACTAAGGCCAGGATAACAGTCATCCCACCAACCAGGCAGATAGTATCACCAATTACACATTGCCTACATAGGTAAATATCCCCATGAAGACGCCCAAATCGTGGTATACCTGCACAAAACAAAAAATGAGAACAAAGGAAATAAAGGAAAATTCTAAAAATCTAGATCCACCAGTTTTTCACATACATACATGCATATATATTTATATAATCATATAAATGTGAAAATTTGGACCCAATACGTGAGCCGTCGTCTTAAACATACCCCCAATAGGAGAAGCAGCTGCTGACAATGGATCAACTAGATTGAGCATGGATAGCTCCCCTGATGCTCGAATAGCTTCTGCACAGGTTCCATCAAATGCGAATATAAGCTTCTTCCCAGAGAGCTGTGAAGAGAGATAACCTAGTCTCTCCAAATCCCAAACAATTCCACTGCCATCTGCCTTGGAGACTACTTGCTTACTAGATTTGTCAAGCTTCTGTGTATTAGAAGCCAAGGTCAAGTCAGCATCCAAGGTATCTAAGATAGCCATGCTACCACCACCACATGCCTGGTTGGGGACAAAACGAAGAAGATCCGTGTCCTGGAAGAGCCCTCTATATCCTCTACCAAGAATGTACATGAAACAAATACTACCTGAGGTGAGCACCTCCTCAAAAAGGTAGCAAGAACGGACCTTCCAGGTCGAGTCACTAACTCTTGCACAATTAACTGGAGTCCCCACGGTTACCTGCAAAGGTTTCCCAATCGGAGATGGAGAATATCCTAGTTTCCCTGTGTGTCTAAGCTTTCCATCAAGATATACATAAGCAACACTGGCTTGGAACAATCCAGCAAGAGCATTTGGCTTGCTATGTACAACTGCAAGGTGATGCCACCTGCCTTCCTCAAGTTCCAATCCTGAAAATGATAAGGAGCAAGAACTGCTGGTTGCAAGGGTAAGAACACCATCCTCGTCAAGATATAATTCTGCATAGAATGCATTTCCATTATTTGCAGCACCAACAGAAAATATCCGGAGAATATGCCGCTCATGATGTTGCCCGGCAGAACTGCTCCACTTTTTAGAAGAACCAGCTTTGGACTCAGTTTCTTTTGTTTGCAACTTCAACAGATTCTGAAACTGAAACCAACAGACAAATGAATAACCAGCTGCTGGAGGCCATGATCTTTCTCCCAGAGAAACCTGAATGGAAGCATGACCAATCTTGCTCATGTCCATCTCTACAAATGGTGCGAGGGAAATATTTTCTGAATCCTCCATGAGAATTAACCTTTCCATCATGTCAACAAGTATACGACCTGACTTCATTGACCTCATTTGCAACACATATCGAATAAGCATTCGAAGTTCTGATGCAGATAACCTACCACCATATACATAAAAAAACCTTGTTATTCAAATTGAATAAAGTCAAACCACCACTCTTAATTGCTGAGAGACACCTCCATTCCCAAAAATCCATATATAAATGGCACAGAAAAAGAACTTAGATAAAAATAAAGTGAAAAGACAATGAGAACTGAACAGAGAAAACAAATAAATTCCAATACATGTACGCAAGTCTTACCTGTATGCCCCAAGAACTTCCACAATCTCCAGAGCATGCTTAAGGAATGGAGATGAGCCCAAAAGGAATGGGTGAATGGTTTCCAGCAGAAGTTCAATGCAACCTAAATACATTAGACAAAGTAGAAAGTGAGAGTACTGGTCACCAATTTAGATACTTAAGCCAATAATTATTGTTTTTCGCACCTATAGAGGTGAGGTTTTCCTGGTTGAAGGGACCAGCATGAGCAAGCCTTTCAATAAGGTTAAGCACTTCAAGCTGCATCTTTGGAGTAAAAAGCAGTAACGACCGAATAAGAACTCTGACAGCACCAGCGTTGAACACCCGTTCCTTATCAGGATGAAATGAACCTGATGTAGTCATTATTGAAAAACTTGAAGACTCATTATCAAGCACATCCGACGATGTAACACTTTCTGATGTTAAGAACGGTGGAAGCACAATTTCAAGAGCTAGTTCAAACAATAATTGTATGACTTGCTTTTCACAGTCCACACCAAGTAAGCCTGACTCGGATAGAAGATCATAGAAAGTTTGGGATGATATAATTGTGTGCAATTTTGTCCTATTAACAGCATTACCACACACCCCAGCAGTCACTAGACGCAACAAATACGTAAACACCTTGATGTAAACCTCTAAAGAAGATTGATCTGAATGCTCCCCTTCACTTTGGAAACTATGGAGTGTGGTAAGAAGAATAGAAAAACCAGTGGCTTCACCAAAAACCCTCTGAGCTGAGTTACTAACTCCCAGAATGCGCCACAAAGCCCCCATAGTGTCACATTTTGCATCATTTTGAAGCCTGTATTGAGATCCCGTAACACTGGTAACCATTCCACTTTTTAGAATTTCAACAATCACACCTAATTCTTCAGGATGTGCCTGGTCAAATATGAGAAACTAAAGTTATTTCGAAAATCGACAATGGCAAAGCTCGATGACTAAAATACTACTATGTCTGCACAAAAGCTTCTATAACTACTTCTATGTTATGAAAGTTCTAGATTTGTCACTAATTTTTTTTTCAGAAATATATGAATGAAAATTAAAAATAAAAATAAAGGGACAAGAATTGAATGCAAAACCACGGAAATTCAAATTTGTAGAGAGTTACAGTATACTAAAAAAGTAAACAAACCTGGGTACCATCTTCAATGATCAAACATGACAATACCCTAAGCACCCCTGCTCGGTGTGTGTCAGACACAAGAAACGGAAGAACAGTAGTTACACCATTAGCCACACGGAAAGACGATTGGTTGGTTTCAGTTTTCTTTAATAAAGAGACCATACAATCCCACGCTATAGTAATTGTACCATCAACTTCAAATATAGGAAGCTTCCCTGAACCAGATTCCATTAGTTTGGGTGATGAAATAATTACATCCTTGCTGTCCAAGTGCTTTTTAAAGCTGCTTGAACCAGAATTTATCTCCAACTGATTAGTATTGGCACTTTGATGCTCTGAACCCAAAAGCAACTTGTGCTGCTTCAGGTCATCCAACAAAACCTCCAGGACACCAACTTCTCGGAGGACCTTTTTGTACTGCTGGTCAAAAGATAGAAGTTTTACAAAAAAAGAAAGTACAGTGTGCTTTAAGTCTGATGATATTGGTTGCTGCAACAAGCAACAAAGTGACAGTAACTCTTGCTCAGGGACGCAGTTTACAACAGTCACGGCATACTCAAGAATTTTTAGCAGTATCTCTTGTAAAGATGGAGGAAAACCAGCCATATTTAGGATGAAAAGTGGAACAGTCCGTAACTGCTGGCACAACTTGTAATTTTCAAGATGACTTGAAAATATTTTGAACATTCTATTCAGAACTTCTGCTTGCAACTCCCTGCTTTCTGCTTTGAGGAAAATGTCCTGCAACATCTGAACTGCTTCAAGGTCTTTGACTTTATTATTGTCCTTTTCCCAAACTTCATCAGCCAATCTATCTGAAGATGGTGTACGACTTCTGCTATGGCCACTGGACCTGGTATGGGAAGACTTGGAAACTTTTGGTTCGGTTGGGCCAGTTTGAGCTAGATTAACAAGAACATCAAGCAACCTAGACAGTGTGGGAGAAAGTTGTTCATCTAAGGGTCCCTTTTCTCCCATGGAATCCTGAATGTCTACAACATCCTGTGCATGGGAACCGCCTGATGCAGAATTTTTGTCTGAAAATTTATACTGAACAGAATGGAACCCCTGACTTTCAGACATTGAGGAAAGAATTAAAGCAAACTGAACAAGGAACTGATAACCATGGGCATTATGTATATCCTCCCTAAGCCTGACACCACCAGCATCTACATACCCAAAATGTATCAGAACCAACACATATTTAAGCTGCAGAAAATGATATTAAAAAAATACAGCACAAGGAAGAGATGTTAGTTCAACTAAAGAAGGAAAACTGATGAGCCAATTACCAGGTCTATATGACAATTCAACACATTCAAGCAGCAAATCCACAATGCCCATGGTATATGTAGAATCACCGCAATCAGGATTGAAATCTTTGACAGCCATTAAAAGAACTTTAATCTGCACAGGGGGAACAGAAAATCATAATGTGAGAATAATTTTAAAATGATAACCAGAAAACCATGGATCAAGCCATTCTTTGAAAACAATACATTAAAAAAGTCAGCACAGCCTGTGTAATCATCATTGGCTAGCTCATGTTCCTGCTAGAACTATATGCTTATCCAACATTAGAGGGTATGTGGGAGGTATGCATGGTCAGTTGAGCAGGCATATTCAGTATATTTAGGATTTAACCATTACAATGCAGTGCACGCACATAATATATTACATACCAGATGATGTTTGCGAATATAGTTTGCAGTGCTCCCATTGTCATTGACCAAAAGAAGACCAAGAATCTGGAAAGATAAGCACAAGTTAGCACAAACAAAATCCGAATTACGGGTTCTAATGTCTCTACAAATACGGCAGGCAATACGTGCAATGTATCAACCTGCATAGCATGTCTATGAAGCTGAATGCTGTGCAGCAGAACCAGGCCCTCGTTGTATCTAGAGAAGACTGTCAAAGAGCCATTCGCAACCATCTGAAAGAGCAACTGAAGAGAATCATCCTCAATCAAACTTTGTGCTGCCAAAGGATGGTTTGCCAGTGCTTTCATAATATGCACAACACTCCCCTCTACCTGCATAATTATAGGTTAGAAACAAAAAGAAAGTTTAAAACGTACCATGAACCGAGAACATAGCAAGTACAACAGGCTTAAAAATCAATATCAAACATGAATAAATAAAATTTCTGATAAAGTAATAATGAGGTTTGGCCTAATAAGGCAAGTGATAATGGACAGCACAATAACATACAAATAAAGACGAGTTCAGTATGAGAAAAATGTCACGCACTACTGGCTGGAGTTCAAATATGTGAAATATAAACATCTAACAAAGAAAAATAAAAATGTTAAAATACCCACAAATCATGGCATGTTCAAAAAATGTCACGCTTCAAATGCTACAAGGTTCTACTTCTACTAAACACAAGATAGCAATTAAGCCTATTGTGTTTTCAAAATCAATCTTTGCATACATCCATGTGTAATAAACATGTATGGTTTTGTGTACCATTAAGTAAAAGCTACCTCAAGCCGATGGACTTGGCCGGCAACACCGTCATAATCTTTCTCAGTTGAAAGTAGTTCATCATGATCAGTAGCCTTTTGCTTCTGATTGGCTTCATCAGGATCCAGAAGGGCATTGAGAATATGAATGAGACAGCACAATATGCCCGAATCAAGGAGAGATTGTTTATCAATAGGCTGCAAACAGCAAAAGGAAACAAGCATTAACAGCATGTGAATGAAAGACAAAAAAGTCATTTAAGTCCGTCACAACCAAATAAGTATCCTAATCTAGTGAAATTAACAAAAGTTTACCGCAGAAGCTAGCACTTGTAAAGCAGTTAACAAATTTGAACCAGGACTGATGCCATCCTGCACGGAAGTAAATAAGATTATGACTTCAGGAAACAGATGAGAAAACAATGATAACACCCACTAAAATAAAAGCCAACCTTTGTGACTTCTGAAAAAAACGTCAGTACTTTTTCTACATCCAAATATCTTTTTCTGCTGCTGATTTTTAGCTTCTCAATATCTGTTACAAATGCCCTTCCCAGGACAAATGAGAATATATGTGTTTCAACTAACCTGTGTTCATCAAAACTTGTATGTTAGTCAACAAACTCGGATTTTTCTATAACCAACAGTTATAGAAATGCAGAGTTTAACTTTTACCAAAAGTTCCAAAACAAGCAAATCATTTTTCATGATTCATTTTCTAATGTGAAAAAACTGCTTTAAAAATTCAAACAAAATTATGCATCTGTACATACTCAAATTAAAATCAAATAGAGGTCTCCAACTCGACATGACAACAGATTTTGGTAATTGGATCTGACAAAAATAAATGAGGAAAAACATGTTTTCAGTGACACCAGTGACAAGAAAATAGAGTGGAGTAAACAGTCAATACTTGTCCAACCCAGCTTTAGCAACACAAAGTTGCTGGTTATGCAGGGAACTGATCTATTTTAATTTGCAGCGGCACCATAAAACCAATTCAGAACACACATAAACGTCAAATCAATAATTAATTTTTCTTAAAAGGAAATATTGTATACATCACTTGCATCTCTATTACAAGGTAAATTAGCCCTTCGCATAGTTAATTTTATCACAACAATATGAATCATAATATTATCCTTTTCCCATTTTTCGAAGAAATTATGTACTAATCAATGCAGAAGACAAGAAAAGGGGGAAGAGGGTTCATACATGGTAACTAATTGAGCTACATTTGCATGTTGCCTTACTAATCTACAAAAGATATCTACAGTTAAATTCAAGGCCGCTTCTTTCTCCTGCATATACAATTTAAAAAAAATTAGAAACCATTATTTTCAGAAACAAAAAATAACTGCATGCGAATATATAAAAGCAACAAACAATATAATGAAGATTCTGCCTAAGAATAAAAGTTAATGATTTGAAACGTTTTATCCTAATTTAGAGATGTTATTGGGGATTTAATTGGTGATTTCAGTTTGTTAGAAAGCTAATTGGAGATCTGATTTCTGGAAAGGCTACATAAATAGTTCATGATGTAACCATTTGAGGATCTTTTTTTTTCCAAACGTATTTTGAGGATTGACTATCATATATTTGAAAACCCCGACACCCTATTGCTCATCATCTCTGCCTCATTTCCCCCCTCTTCTATTTCACCCAAAAACTCTCTGCTCCTTTTCCCCTTATTTATTCTGCATCACATCAATAAAAAAGAAAACACATGGAATAAGTAATGAAAAAAACCTTTTCAGAGCTGGATGTCCGGAACTCTTCCCAAAATCTCTTGAAGTCCAATTCCAATTCATGTTTGTCTCTGCTTTCACAGGCATTGGATGTTAATGATCTTGTAATGCTACAGTATCAAATTGAAATATAGAAACTACAAACAACTGATACCATGCATCCTTTATGGAAGATTTATATGAGAACACAAATCATAAAACTTAGATGTTGACCCTCACAAAATTTATGTTAAGACTCACTAAAAAAGACAGCACTAACTCTTTACTTTGGCACCAAAAGCTTGCAGTAACTTTTTGCTACTTCTTATAATAATCCAAACATGTTTTAAGTGGCCAGCAGAATCAACAGCTACATAATTCACCTCTATTGTTTTGTACAAACTATTTGCATGTATACATATATAGATTATACATGCATGTGTATAGACTACCCTCTTTATCCGCCAAATCTCCAAATTTTACCACACAAGCTATGTGTTATATTCTACATGTCCTAATCACGTCATCAGACATAGTCTATTACATTTTCCTTTCTAAACCCATTCAAGCATATCAAGGTTTGGGAATGTAAAGCATCAATCAACGACAAACAAGCTAAAGCCATGAGGTTTGATGACTAAACTCTAACCCAAGCCACCATATGCTAAAACAGGGATCCATTCAAGGACGGGTGCATTAGCTGATCACATATAACCTATAATCACTGACGAGTTGCCACGAATGAGATGTCAATGACATCGATGCCAAGGCAATGCAACCATGGGCTACACTCTGAAGTCAAAACCACTCCAACACGCTAAAATTAAATCCATTTTCACACCATCAGTTGCTGCAAAATTTGTAGGGATAGTGGAACAGACCATCCAACGGGTGAGACTAGATGAGCCAAATCTAACAATCTAGCATTTGATCAAACAACAAGCTGCAAAGCTTAAGTCAACAAATACTCATCACAGCTGACAAGCTTCCCTAGAGTGCATAACACCGTTGAAGTATTAACAAAACACTCAATCCACGGCCACTTAAAACCCATTAAACCCCCAAATTAACAAGAAATTAGTAAATAAATTAAACCCAAAATGCCGTACTGAAAACGAACCAGTTTATCAATATATTAAACTACACAACTGAAAACCCAATAATTTTAAAAATAAAAAAAAAAGCGAAAAAAATGAAAAACAAAAGGAGTAGAGTACCCTGAAGGAGAATACGAGCCGTGAAGAGCTGAATTAGCATTGTTATTGGCAGAGAGAGCCGGCGACGATGACGAAGAAGCGGCGGCGGCGGCAGCAGAAGCAGATAAAGAAGACGACGGCGATTGAGTGAAACCGACCTTCTCCCTTAAGTCCTTAAGCAATGCTCCCCATTTCATCGTTTTCCCTATTGATTCTTAATACATACACCTCCTCTCTCATCCGCCGCACCAGATCCAAGCTCCACCGGAAGGATCTGATCCAGCCACAGAAACCTCACAATCAAATTTACCCAAACCGCACAAAAATTCCAGGAAAATAATATCTTTCCCGGAAAATCAAAACGAACACGGAGCTAATAAACCATGCGTCCCAACAGACAGCGAGCGGACTCGGATTCGGGTCGGGATTCGGAGCAGCAAGATCCGGCGTATCGAGCTCGATGAATCTCGGCGTTTCGCTGCTCGTTTCTTGCGCGTTTCTTTCTTCTCCGCGACGGATTTTCTTTCCCGGATTTCGTTCAATTTTTTTTTCCCGATTTTCTTTTTCTTTTTTCTTTAATTTTTTTGTGTGCGAAAAACGCGGATACGCGGACTTCGGAGGAGAAAAGCGAAAAGAAAATGAATCGAAATAAATGATAACGTTGTCTCTGCGTGTTCTCGGACCGCCTCTCCGCGCCTTGTTCGTCGCTTCTTTCTATATATCCTTTCCAACTTCAACTCTCTCTCTCTCTCTCTCTCTCTAACTCTTTCTCTCTCTAGAATAAAAATTCAAAAATATTGTAAGCAACGTTGTGTTGTTTTTCTATGCTCTCATCGGCCACTTCAGCATGGGATCCACGTCTCCCAGGGTTCCACGTGGCTTCTTGATATGAACGTGCCAGACGTGACTGCCACTTTCTCTTATGAGTCCTTTTCTTTCTCTCTCTCTCTCTCTTCCGGCAAAGCAAATCAAAGATTCAAATGTGAGCTTTTGAAATGTGTTTTTAAAATGATTTAAAATATTATTTTTAAATATTTTTGAGTTCTAAAAAGACTTGAAGTGTATTTTACAAGAATCATTAGTTATATGCTTCTTCTAATGAGTGTTTTAAGTTTTTTCCAGGATTTACTTATATTTTTACTAAAAATTGGTTCTAAAAATATTTTCACTAAAAGTGTTTTTTGTCATTTTAAAAGTACATCCAAACGAGCTTTATATTTTTGTTTAAGAAAAACTAATGAAAATGGCTTGAAAACTTTGAATTTTAATCAAGATGATAAAAATGTATTGTAAATGAATGGTACAAAAGTGATTTTTTAAAGTAAAAATATATTTATCGTCAAAAATAAACAGTATCATAAATGTTTTGTTAAAACCCCTTTTGTTTACAGTGGGAAGCAATTAATTATTGATGCAACGCTATTGTATGTGCCTTAATGGCTAAGGGATCTAGCACGTACCTTTTTCTTTTCTTTTTGTAATTTTATTAGATATCTTATATTAGAGCAATTTCATCTCTAAAAAAATACGTCAGCATCCAGTTTATTTAATCCACTCAGTGAACAGCGATAGATCCTGATGAACACTAATAAGCCAAATGCATCTCTACCCCTAAAACTAAATAGCCTAGTCAATTTTATTAAAATATTATTAATTTTTATTATAAAATAATAATTTGATTTTTAATTTCTGACATGATCCCTTCTTCTTCTTCCCACTTTTCTCAAAAGGGTCTCTCTCAGTGGCGAAGCCAAGATCTTACATCGCGCGGGGGGTGGGGTGCTTTCACAAATACTTTATTTTTTAATGCCTAAAATACGAAATAGATTGGTTGTATTCCGATTTATTTATCTCAACTCAGAAAAATATCATACCGCATCAACCATTAGGTTAATATGCAAGATAGAGGTAGATTATACCCATACCGCATCAACCATATAGTCACATAATCCAACTAATATTTAAGAGCAGATGGACTAGAAGTTCAAGCCAACAAAGAAAAATATCAACCAACATTCTTAGAGTAAGTGATAAATCCTGGCAATTAGATTCAATTACTACGGTCAAAAACTTCGACCTAAATTAATCTCCTCCGCCCCAAAGATGAACATGAAGTAATTAACAAGTTGAAGAAGCTACATCATTATAACTAGAATAAGAGAATCTCAAATCCATGAATTTCAAGATTGCAACTAAACTTACCAGAAATAAAATGATGTTATGCTATATCTTATACAAAGAAAAGGAAAAATTGCAGGATAGACCCATGACTACCCTTGTCCTTTAGTGGCTCCGCCACTGGTCTCTCTGGACTCCCTTCTTCTTTTTCTTCCCTGATTTTCCAACTGTACGGTCAAACACAGTTTCACCAATTTTTCTTCCCTTCTTCTTTTTCTTATCTTGAAACCGCCAAAACCCCATGTGAGATCAGCCAAGTTCACCCCGACCCGAATTCAAAGATAGGGGAAGATTGAAGCTTTCTAAAGGCTGAAAGAGATAAAGATAGAGAGGAAGGGTTTTGGATATGGAAGCTCGAGTTGGGGTCGTGGTGGAAGGAAAGCAGAAAGCTTCGAATTCAGCTCAGGGGGGCATGGCGGTATCGCCTGGCGTCATGTAGGTCGAGCAAGGGCTTAGCACATTATGAGTCGACCTAGAGACTAGCTTGGGCTGGGTGCCAGCCTATCTGCTCGGCTGGAGTGGATTGGCCCAGTGTCGAACCAATAATTTGGCTGGGTGCCAGCCTAAAGGTTCCCCGATAGAACTACTCTTAGGGTAATATCCGATTCATCTTTGAAGTTGAGAATCGAGCCAAATAATACTAATCAATTTTGTTCGTTTTCAGTTCCATCCTACCAATTTTGTTCGTTTCAAATATGAGATGAAGAATTAGACATAAAAGATGTAAGGTAAAAAATAGTGAATCGGGAAAGAATGAGATAAATATTTAATGATTTTATGTGTAAGTTTTACGATTTGTGTAGGATGTTCAATAAGAAAGATAGAGATTTTAGGTCCGATTATCGTCAAATGCGAATTTGAACCACATTATTGCTAGCTCATTGTGAGGCTAAACTCACCCATTCCCCTTATTAGAGTAAACCAAATAGCCATTAGTCTAGTAGCATTTCTCTCCTTAATGTTAAAGAGGTCATACCATCAATCCCTTACTACTATTGTTAACTTATACTACTAGTAGTCTAAGTACAAGTGAACTAGCACATTATGGAGAGTGTAGAACATGCAGGGGTATCGATGGGTATAAAATGTATAACCAAGTAAAATGCTTAGATTGTCTGCTCCTTGTTTGGTCATAAGGATAATTATTCTTATTAGGTTAGGGCGGTTGGCCTAGGGATTACACATAATTGGTAATGGCATAACCAAAAGAGGCGTATGGGACAAGTTTACGCGTGCTACGTAGCACAGCAAAACTGTATTGGGTAGCAACGATGGGTGCTAACTTGGACACCCATCCCAGGGTTAGGGGCGGGCCGATCACAAGTTTAAAATTTTATATAAAATCTTATAAATTTATAAAAATAAATTACAATAAGGAATTCAATATAAAATTAATTTCTCCGTGACACTCGTTAGGACCAACTACATGCTATATATCCCATGATATAACCAACCATGATTTAATTTCTCATTAAAAATCATTTCATATAAAAATTTACTCACATCCAAACGCTTTTACTTGTGTTATTTTAATCTTTTTTTTTACAACACTTGTCTTATTTTAATAAGATAATTAGAATAGCACACTGTTTTTGGTAAAAAAAAAAAATTAAAAGTTCGCACTATTCACATCATATGAATTTTTACAATTATGATCATTGTGTAAAAACCTAAATATCGAACAGTTTGATTCATTGTATTATATTGTGAAGCGAGTCGGTAAAATAATTAACGTTATAATTATACATTAACTTACTAATTTTAGTAGTACTCGAGCCCTACCATGTAAAAACATTCTGATCGATATGTAACAACTTATGATATGGTGGGGAAAGTAGATCCATCCGACATGTTTCATGCTAACATGTACTTGGAACATAATATGGTTGTATATTTGGGGGAGAATAATGTGTTTGCCAAATCGATACTAAAAGTGGACCCTGCCACCGTATCAACATGCTCAAGAGTTTTTCTAAAAATAAATCAGCTGGGCTAAAGCGATAGCAGTCCATATTATCGGAAATCGAAAAAACTCACGAGGCATTTCAAATGTTACATTTCAAATTTATTAAAATGAGTTTAATTAAAGTGTTAATTAAGGAAAGCATGATGTCTACGACTCCTACTACCAAGTTGACCAAGAGTTGGTGGAAGTTTAAAATTATATCAAACCCTCAACCATTATTATATGTTCGATATTACTATGCAATATAGTCTAACAACGTTTTTGTAACGTAATCACATTCACATATAACATTTTATCTTGACAATGTAATTATTCACAATTTCAAACTCAACGTTACCATAATAATCCTAGTGATATTATGTGTTATTAACTATAACTCTTAACTGTAATTTTTTTATGAGTATAGTGCGTAATATGACATTTCTAACAAATAAAACTTCCTATGGATTCAATTAAACAATGAAAAATTTCATCCAATAAACTAAAATGCATAGTATTTTCTAACAACGTGTACAACCTGTAGACTAAATATCGCTACACCCAACCATCAACAATGTTAAAAAAAACGAGCCTTGAGGCGCGCCTAGGCGGCGATGAAAATGCCTCTACCCAGCGAAAGTAGGCTTAAACTCACTATACCAAATAATCAACTAGACTATATGACATACCCTCAAACTAGACTAAATATTAATAATTTTAGGTCACTTTAAGCAAGATTATCAATGTAATGTCTTGACTTCGTTTCGCCTTTTAAAACTTTGATAATCAGTGACTAATTTACTCTAGTTCTTTTTAACAAATATGTATAAATTCTTTTTCTTTGTAGAAAATTCTAATTTGGCATCTGATGGAGCCTTTCCGGTCCTTTATTATTATAATTTTTTTTTTTGGAGGTGTGGGATGTTGAATTCCCTTGGTGTGAATATGACTAAACAAAAGAAAACAAAAACCAAATTTGATTATAATTTCTGGTCATAGAAAATAATTTAAGAGCAGCCGTACATTATACACCGTTTGATTTGTGTCATCCAGTTTAATAAATAAAACCAAAGGTTGGTACCAAATTCAAATAAAAGCAAAGATGTATTTAGGTGAATTAGACTGTGACATAGCAGCTAAGTTAGGTAAATGAAAGAGGAAGTGATAGTTATTTCAATGGTAACAAATAGATTTAGCATGGGAAATCAGACGTAGTAGACTAGTTTAAACCGATGCATAATATTTAAAAAAAAAAAACAATGCATAATATTCGAAGTACATTTCTTTGAGAATGTACAAGGAATTTGATGCTAACATGATCGAGTCAATTTGCAACACCGTTGTAATATATATATATATTTTTTTTTTACATTGAAAAGAAGCTTTATTAAACATCGAGAGAATTTTATATGATAGCACAAGACTATGAATACCTAGACGTGAATATCAGAAACTATAACTGCGCCTTTAAGAAAAAACACACGGTCTGATTATCATCACAGAACATAACATTTCCTTTCTTTCAATCATGGTATTTTGGTTGGGTGAGACATGAATGGCTATTTTTAATATATACAATGTCTTTTTATAGGTCTCAAAGGAGTCGAAATAAGAACATTTCAAGTGGAAATGAACTAAATTTTAGTCATTTTC